TGATGAAGTATGAAAATGGAATACTTCGGTCGACTTTAACTGGTACATCACACATATATCAACATTTTCTAAAAATGATCAGATATTTCATATAAAGTAAAGGAGGTAGTCGATATTGTTCAAACCTGGCACTTCGCAATATTTACATCGTATTTTTTTGGACCGGCAAAACCGACTGATACCTTTTAACTTGTTTTACCTCAGTTCACTACTTCATTCAGTGGTGCTTAAGTATCTACTTTTATACATAACAAAAGTGCTGAATTAGTGCTCTAACTAGTACCACGCACTTACCCGCCACTTTCCATACAACCAACCAACCTAGTGGCTAGTAGTATTGAATTAGTTGCTATTTCTATGATCATAGAACATAATTCATATTTTTCATATTTTAATATTCTGACTATGCCTACCATTTATTCTAAGCATTAACATATTCGTGGCTTTGAAGGTAGTAAGAATGTGTTTTCCCCCCAAATATTCAATTATGGAAATTTAACGCTGTAATTAAACTATAAAATTACATGAACTTCTTCTTCTGCTTCGCTTTTTTGTGCGTTCGTGATCATAATGTTCGTTCGATGCGAGTTTGGTTTTTAAGGTGTGTTTTTGAGGAAGTAATAACCAGCCAACGAACATTGATTCTTCTTTTTTGTCATATTTGTTTTTTTTTTTTGCCATAACATCCGATTGGCTTTTGTAAAATTGTTTTGTTCAACTCCATTATCGGGGCTAATTTGAAAATCACATGTGTCTTATGTCATTTATTTTTCGAGCGATCTATAAAAGGGAAAAATGGAAATTTTCGCCTAGGTTTTGAGACGCCAGAAAGTTGTTCGGGCGGCATTTCTCATAAAACAACTAAAGGAAAAAATATTAAATGGTCACATATAATTTACATTTGTTTTTGAAAATATTGTAATTATGGCTTAAATATAGTCAATATCCGTTTGACATTTAATAAAAACAATTATGGACATTTTATTACTTAATAATATGTTCAACGTCATTGTGTCGCCATGTTATGGACTTTGGACCACTCCCCAAACGAATGTAAGAGATCTAGCTCTAGGTGGATTCTAGTAAAATTTGACATGTAATTTGTTTGACAATAGTATTAAGTTCGATCATAGAAAAATCAATAATAAAATTAAAATTTTGGGAGATTTTGAGAAAATGTGAAATTCTTAATATTTTTTTTTAATTTAAAAATTGAATTTAACAAAAAAATTAAGCTGAGAAAACAAAAACACTTGAATAATAAAAAATAATTTTTTGATTTATAAATTGTTAATCGTGAATAAACAAGGTTAAAAGTATCATTCGGCTTTGCCGACATACGTATGTATACCTACCCTCAGCCAATGTCAGTTTATTTAATTTAGTTTGACTTATGTAACGATTATTTAAAATTATTGGGGTTTTGCAAAATCTAAAGAAAATCGAACATTTATTTCCAATATTATGGCAAATCAAAATTTTAACCAGAAGCAGTGGACCGACATATTCCATATCTACATTAGATCTGTTGTTCCAAGAAATATTGAGATATACAAAGTTTGCTGAATTTTTAAGGGTTATAATTGTTCTAAAATTTGACCCCAGTGGGGTGATAGGGAGAAATTTTGAGACAAACCAAGTGTAAAATGAATAGCTGACAAGTTTCGCATGTTAAGATATACTATTATTAAAAGTTCTGGCTGATTGTGGGGAAGGTACCAAAAGCAGTAGACCAATATTACCCATCTTCACGGTAAATCTTGCATTGACACAAATATTGGGATGTGTGAAATTTGAGGAGAATCGAATGCTTTTTTATTTTATGAGCGTTTTCTTATTCAAAAATTTGACCCTTTGTGGGGGAGGTACCACAAGTAGTCGGCCAATATTTACCAACTTCACACCAGATCTTGTATTAATATAAATATTGAGATGTGCCCAGTTTGAAAATAATCGAATTCTAATCTCCTGTTTATGAGCTTCATAATCATTTAAAACATTTTTGACCCTTTGTGGGGAAGGTACCAGAAATAGGGGGTCGGTATATCCCATCTTCACAGAAAAATTTGTTTTAGTGAAAATATTGGAATGTGTGAAATTTGAAGAGAATGATATTTCATTTCGGAATTTATTTATTTTGGTTATTTAAAATTTTGACCCGTTTGTGGGGGAGGTACCAGAAGGAGTGGACCGATATATCGCATCTTCACACCAGATCCTCTGTTGATATAATTATTGAGATGTGCTGACTTTGAAAATAATCGGATGCTCATTTAAAATTTTATGAGCTTCGTGGTTATTCAAAATGTGGACCCCCTTGTGGGGGAGATACCAAAGGGAATTGACTGATATGTCCCATCTTCACAGAAAATTTTCTGTTAGTGAAAATATACGGATGTGCAAAATTTTCAGAGAATAAGATTATTATTTCGCATTTTTTGAGAGTTCTGCTTATTCAAAAATTTGACCCTTTGTGGGGAGGTACCAGAAGTAGTCGGTTGATATTTACCAACTTCACAACAGATCATATGTTGATATAAAAATTACGATGTGCCGAGGATTCAAAGAATCGGATGTTTATTTCGCATTTTATAAGCGTTTTGGTTATTCAAAAATTTGACCCGTTGTAGGGGTGATACCAAAAGGAGTCGACCGATATCTACCATCTTCACACCAGATCTTGTGTTAGTGGAAATATTGGGATGTGTGAAATTTAGAGAATCGAATGCTTTTTTCCCATTTTATGAGCTCCATGGATATTTAAAATTTTTACCTTTTGTTGGGGAGGTACCAGAAGGAGAGGACCCATATATCCCATCTTCAGAACCGATCTTTTGTTAATAGAAATAATGTAATGTGAAACATAAGTAGAACCTGATGCTTATTTCGGATTTTGTAAACGTTTTGGTTATTCAAAACTTTGACCCTTTATGAGGGAGGTACCAGAAGGAATGGCCCGATCTCTACCGCCTTTATAACAGATCCTGTCAACACAGGAGCCTAGTCTAAAGGTAATCGGATTTTTATTTCGTTCTTTATGAGTTTATGAATATTCAAATTTTCAACCTTTTGTGGGGGAGGTACCGAAGAAGTGAACCGATATATTCCGTCTGCACACCAGACCTGGGGTTAATAAAATTATTGGGATGTGTGAAATTTGAAGACAATCGGACTTTTATATCACATTTTATAAGATTTGTAATTGTTTAATATTTTGACCCTGTTGGGGGAGGTACTTGATAGAGTGGACGGATATTGTCCATTTTCGCACCTGGCCTTGCACTGATGCAAATATTTGAATTTACAAAGTTGGAGCATTATCGGATTATCGTTCCTCTTTCTGTGCAGAAAATATATTTTTTGAAAATTTCGACATTTTGTGGGGGAGGTACCAGAAGGAGTAAATCCATTTTCGCACCAGACCTTGGGTTAATAAAATTATTGGGATATGTGAAATTTGAAGACAATCGGACTCTTACAACACATTTTATAAAAATTATAATTATTCAAAATGTTGGCCCTTTGTGGGGGAGGTACCAGAAGGATATTGTCCATTCTCGCACCTGACCTAGCTCTGATGGAAATGTTAGTATTTGCAAAGTTGGAGCAAAATCGGATCATCCTTTCTCTTTCTGTGCAATAAAATATTTTCTTTGAAAATTTTGACATTTTGTTAGGGGAGGTACCAGAAGGAGTGGACCGATATTGCCCATCTCTGGACTCGATCTAAGTTTGACAAAAATATAACAATGTACCAAGTTTGGACGAAATCGGATACTCTCTTCGAGAGTTATTGTACACACCAATCAGATATCAGTCAGAAGGACGGACAGCCCTAGAACGATATCAAATGTCCTGAAACGAATTTGGTCTTAGAGAATAGAGACCTCGGGTCTAAAACCGTTATTTCAATGAGCCACCATATCAAATGATATAAACCCTTGGTAGCCATGAGGCAGGGGGTATAAAAACGATTACATTTTTTTAAACAAAATATTGCAGAGGGGTTATAATTTTTGGAAGATTTTAACAAGATGTGGCATTTTTAATTTTTGAAAATTTAAAAAAAGAATTGCACCGAGAAGAAAGCGATCGTGGATTAAAAAAATTGTAATCGTGAATGAAAAATGCAAACGAAAATTTTCCAAAGGCCTTTAATGTGATTTTTTCTTAAGAATGTCTATTAGGCTCTGATAGACTGACAACCGTTAGTTAAATCTTGATCCAAATCAGAGCCAACGTCAACCATGTTCACTGGCAACCAATATCTAAACCACAAAACAAATTCCTTCACACCATGTCCAAGATTCGATTTTCCAAGTAGCAACCTGCCGTTGCTGAGTAGTTTTTCTCCGAAAGGCCCAGAACTAATGAAATTCCATGAAGTCGCAAGTTAATTGAAAACTCTTTACCACCAACAACAGCAGCAACAACAACAACAACAACAAAACATTGAACGGTATACATCAAACCACCGTTTTATTAATGGGAAAAACAAGTGAATGACATGAGAAAATGGAAAAATTCCCACTAAAAGAAGAAAAAACAACTCCACACAGAGAGAGCGTTTAGGTTTTTGTTGGTTGTTTTTTTTGGAATGCTGGTGGTGCTTGCCGCCCGGCCTCAGGGTGTTTTGCATAAAAAACAAATAAATTTACAGTTGGGCCACTTAAATGTGGGTGAATGTCGGCGGGCCCGATGACAGAAGACTTGATGGACTTGGACTTTGGTGGAAGGCAGGCAAAAGAGTTTGGTTTGAGAAGATGGAGAAGTCTCCTCGTCATCATTCAATTGCCGTTTAACAAGTGAAGCGAGTGAGCGTTTGAGTCAAGCAGAAACACTTGTGATCGCCATGAAAGCCTTATTCCGAAAAATACAGTTGCAGTTACAATTTAAATTAGCATTTAAATGTGGGAACTTTTTATTCCCAGAGCGAAACAAAGAAGAAGAAGAGTTGTTTATATAATTGTTTTTTTTTTCTGCTTCTTTTTCTCTTTCAGTTAATGCCGAAACGAACCTTAAGAACGACATCTAACACCACCACCAAACCCCGCCACGATGAAGAGACACACACCCGCGCATATTCCACAAAGATCAACTCTAACAACAGCAACAACAACAAATTCTTACAATACAACACATGTTCAACAGACACCTCCCTCGTTTAGTGGGAGCCTGGCCCGAAGTAGAGCAGAGCTCCCAGTTATTGAATCACCTACTACAGTGCTAAGCAAACAAACATCTAGCAATAGTTACAAAGAAGCAGAAGAGACAGACGAAGAACCGCTCATTGTGGCCGTGGCCAAGAAAAAAAGTACAACACAACCGCTGGATGGCCAGCAACAACAAGGAACATTAAACAAGTCGAGGAGGGCAAGGTCGTCCGCGGCAGCCTTCTTCTGGTCACGATGGTCACAACACTGGAGCCAACTGAAGCCATCGACAGCCGCCTGCGTTTCGGCATTTCTTTTGCTCTCAACGACATGTTCCTTATGTTCGGCCTCCTTGTGTGACCCCCAAAGCTGGTGGGATCCCTACAAGGATAAATGCATTCCTTGCACTGTGTGCCAGGGCGACATGATACCGCTGAGACCGTGTCAAATGCATCGTGACACCGTTTGTGGTTCGATATATGATTTGAAAATCGATTGGGTGGTGCTGGCGAAAACCGAACCCAATTGGAAGGAGGTAAGTTGGGGGGAATTTTTTTAAAAGAAATATATATGCAAGAAAATTTGTATAGAAGGAAATTGACGGTAAACAAATTATGGAGGGTAAAATGGATTCTACATGAAAAGATTCCGAATTCCAATTAAGGGTAAAAAATATATGAAATCGGGGTTTACCCTTATATATATGGACTATACCAAAAAGCTGATCATCATAACCCATTTCTTGGACAAATGACTCTTGAAGCAATGCGGAGATCTTCTGGAACGAAGTTTTCAAAACTCTATATTAAATGTTGAGAAATATATCTCGAAATATTGGGGTCACTTTTATATATTATAAAGGCTATATAAGGGCCTTAAAAAACATTTGATTCAAGAAACAGAAACTCCTTTGGGGTTTTGATCGACAAGAGTCCGCTTAGAAATTTCCAAAACCCAAACTGGCTATTGGAGAGAAATATTATAAGATTTATTTCAGTGAATCCAGAAAAGTGCAAAATTTGTCAAAAAAAAAAAAAAAAAAAATCATTTTTTTTATGAACCACAAGGGATGATATTTTTTTATGGTACATATTGACCCTACAAACATTTTTTGTTCAGAGGCCCTCCATGAAATTCGATCTAGAATATTTTTCCTTTAGCACTTTCCCCAAAAAATGATGTTTTAAGGAAGATTTTGGCTCAGAATGGAAACGTGTTTAATTAGCAGCCAAAAACGGAAACTCATAAAATTCACTTGCTAAGTACAAATTTCGAATACAATTTTCATAAAATCTATTATACCCAGATCAATGGTTTATTCTGAGACTTATAGTAAAATTTGGTGTAGAATATTTCTTCCTTTGGCACTTTTTGCCTAGAACGAAATTTTATGTTACTTTCATGCCTCAAATCGAAAAAAGCACTTGGGAAATATTCATCAAAAAATTAGAAAATATTTTCGGCCTTTTTTGACAACATTGATGCAAATATTTTCTAGATATCGAATGGGAATATAAACTTCTTTTCTTAAGTGACTTACAGTGAAATTCGATGACGATTAATTTTGTCCTTGACGTCATTTCTCTAAAATGATGCTTTGTACGAGAATTTTCCATGAACTCACATTAAGTACGGCTTTAACCCTTAAATGTGTTTATAATATTTTTAATTCAATGAATTCATAGCTTTTAGGTAAGATTTGGACTTTTGATATATTCGGGGACCTATGGTAGAACTTAATAAATTTGTAGAATATTTTGCTTCAATCCCCTTTAAGACACAATTTAAATCATATATTGGAAAAAGGGCAAAAAGACCCATTTGATTCTCGCTTCCAGATTAAAATTTTCCACAACAATAATCCCCATTTTCCTATCAGCAATATTGCCGAAAGCACTATATATTCAAAATGCGAGGATTCTAAGGAATCTTTAGCCGAAAATTTCGAAAAATGTGGAAGAAAAGGCTACGTGCCCCCTCTATTTAGGTTACTCTGTAATATAAATTTTCAAAACGCAGATATATATGTCCTCTAATTTTAGCTCTTCTTTTATAATTCTTTTGTTGATTAGAAAAAAGAGCTAATAGTATTAGAAGTTCTGCCCTGCAGAGATTTTTGGGGTTTTAGTGGATTTTGGGTTTCAGATGAATGTCTATATTGAAGTCAAGATGATCGAGAGGAACTTTGGAAAGGAAAGCAGCTTCAATATAAAAAATGTGGATGTGATCAAAAAATTGGTAGAGTCCAACAGAAGTAGTGGGAACAGGATCCGGCTTCCCTCCGAATTTGTAATTTTTGGTGATTTTTTATACCCACAGCCATATGGCTAAGGGGGTATGCATCACTTGATACGGCAAAAAGGTGCGTCGTCAAAATAACGGTTTTTGGCCCTAAGTCCCTTTGGGCCAAATCCGTTTCAGGACATTTGGAGTCGATCTAGGGGTGCCTGTCCTTCCGTCTGTCTGTTTGGCTGCAACTCTCAAAGGGAGTATCCGATTTGGTCCAAACTTGGCACAACGTTATATTATTATCAAACTTAGATCAAGCTCAAAGATGGGTAATTTCGGTCCAATTATTTGGTACCACCCCCACAAAAGGCCAAAATATTTAAAGAAAATAATTTACCTCATAGAAAGAGATAGGATCATTCGATTTAGCTTCAAATTTGTAAATTCTTATATTTGCATCAGTGCTATGTCATGTGCGGAGTTGGAAAATATCGGTCCACTACATCATGTACCTATCCCATAAGGGGTCAAAATAATTATAACTCCTATAAAATGTAATGTAAGAATCAATACTTTCATCAGCACAAGATCTGCTGTAAAGAAGGTAGAGATCGGACCATTTCTTCTGGTACCTGCCCCACAAAAGGTCAACATTCTAAATAACCAAATCGATCGTAAAATCCTATTCCCTTCATATCTCATACATCCTGTTGGCAAAACCGACTGATAAATTTAAATTGTTTTTTTTATACCCTCTAGGAAGGAAGCTAAGATTTTTCATAGAGTTGTCTTTTGTCTGCCGTCAGGTCAAATTCGGAGATGGGCTATATCGGTCCATGATATCAAATAGCCCCATATAATGGTACCCCATATACCCGGTGATGATTTTAGCTACACTTTTCAATGCAATTATCTGAAAATTTACAAAAGAAGTCATTTTTAAGTATTTTACCCCTGGAGGTGAATTGCTTTTAGGTCCATGATATCGTATAGCCCCCACACAACGGACCCCCTTAATATTCGGTATTTTGATGATTTTAGAGACTTTATTCACCGGAATTGTTTTTTTAACTTCCCATTTAACGTTCTAATGTGTACTACGGCCTATGACAAAAATTGCGTATTCAGGACCACGTCTTCGTATAGCCCCCATATAACGGCATCTCTCTGTATTCGGTATTTTGATGATTTTAGCGACATTATTCACCGGAATTGTTTCAAATTTCATATTTAAAGTCTCTAATGTTTACCACAGCCTGTGACAGAAAATTGTCTATGCAGGTCCAGGTCTTCGTATAGCCCCCATATATCGGTACCTGCCTATTTTCGGTATTTTGATGATTTTAGATACTTTCATTGTTCATCGGATTTTTTTTTTCAAGTTTCGTATTTGAATATTGTAATGGCCTATGAAAAAAGTTACCCATGCAGGCATATAGACCCCAATATAAAGACGATTTCCTATATCCGGTGTTTTTAAGATTTTAACAGAATTTTCACGGAATTAATTTTTAGAACAATGTTGGCTTGTTTGTTCAAAATACCATAGTATTTTGTTGTTGCAAAATGGTCAGGCTTAATCCCTTTATTCTCGTTTTTACAATTAATTTTTTGAAAATTTCCAAATTCGTTCCAAATGGTGGAGGATATTCAAAGTACGGCACGGCTGAACTTACTACTTTTTACATATTTTTTTTCTTATTAATTTTGAAGAAGAAATCCTATATCCTTAACCTGGAATCTTGATAGCCAAATTTTCTGGTATTTTTTTATTTTTAAATATTTTCTTTGAATATTAATAAATTTTTGATCGTTTCCCTTTTTTTATTTCAGAGGCGAAAGTTTGATGGTTCCGATTATGGATTAGACCACCATCAGTTGACTGCCGAACAATTGCAGCAGCTGCAGGATGAAACGGATCCCATGGATTGGCAGACGGCAGCCTTATTTTTGGCCGTTTTGGCCTGTCTGCTGTTTTTCATTGTGGCCGCCTGTATTCTGGTGCATCATATGCGGCAGTGGCGACGCATGGAACGTAGATTAGATCAAGGTAAGTTCTTATAAAAAAATTTAAAGCCTTACCCGGCGACCTCAAGGAGAACCCCCCTCCATCACATACATACAATGTTATGAAATCTCTAATTGTTTATGCACAAGGCATAGCAGGAATGCTCACGTTTCTACTCGCTTGGTGTAGGGACAATGATTTGGGTGTATGGAGTAACCATTGTGTGTTGTTGTTGTTTTTTCTTACGATGTGATCAATCCTTGTGATCACGTTTCCATTCTATACCTTTCTTTTTTTTAATTCTTTGATTTGAAATTCCATGCATAACCACTGGCCAAACAAACAAACAAACGAGAGAGAGAGAGCCGTGCGACATGCTACAAGAAAACAAGAATCCATTCTTGTTCTTCGTTTGTGGATTTGGTTTTCAAAACCGTAAATGGCAAGTGCCGTCAATCATACCTCTATGGCCATGCTTTGCTCCCCGATAACATTCGGTTTTCGAAATTCATTAATATTATGGATTTGTTAGTCTTGGCAACCTGAATACCAAGATAATGCGGCATAATTCCCTGAAATATTGGGCAACACGTACGCATAAAATTGGTCTTGACTTTTCACAATTGGCTGTCTGGCTCCTTTTGTTCTTTTATGTTTGATGGGGGCTGGCTACTGTTCGGCATGTACAATAAATTCAAAAAAATAATAAAAAATAAAAATAATTTTCAAAATCCAACAATAAACATGAAATTTTAAAATCCTCAACCATTTATGGTTTTATGATTTGGAAGTCAGAAGAAGAATTTTATGCTGCATAAATGTGTTTAGATTTTTCCATCTTTCTTCCGATTTTATGATGCCATTCACATAATGCTAATCCCCCAAGTCTGTCCTTGGAAGTGATAAATATTCATGTAGTTTTTATGTTCTCGTCTTTGGGGTCATTTATGTGGACAGAATGGAATGGGACGAGGAGGCTACATTTGATAAACAACAAATTCTTAGGCTTCTGAATGCCATCTTCTATTCTCCTTCAGATTCAAATCATGGTCGTTTTTCTGCAAAACCAAAAAAAAAAAAATCCAAAGACACAAGTCAACTGTTTCTGATTAAGACTACTAATGAGCCATTCGATGAAAGATTGTCGTTCTGCAAAACCATTCCTCAGGGTTCATTAAATGTTTTGGTCTCGCAACATAGACAGGCGGGTGTTCGTCTCCATGGCATAAAAAAAACATGTTTATGATTTTCTTTTGCATAATTTTTTTCTTTTAAAGAGAAAACAAGAAGCATAATCATAAAACAAATCGCCATAACAATGAAATGGACATAACATCAACATTTGTCTATGTTGGAGGATAAAAATACAGGGTCTGACATTCATCAAGACAATAGCTTAATGTTACCTCACGGAATTCCGAAAACAAGTGGGCTATGGAAAAAACTAAGGTTGTCTGCCCCAAAGAAAGTAAAATACAATTTTTCAGACAAATCGATTGGAAAATATGGCCAAGATCCTTGAAATTACTAAAACCAGGGCTATACCAAAAAAACGGGCCTATGTTTTATACAATTTTTTCTAGTTGAGTTGCTACGTAAGAAAAACTCCAAAAAATTGCTAAATTAAAGAAATACGTCAGAAATACTTAAAGTCGGTGTTTGCCTTAGGTAGGTACCACCGACGTAGTCAGGGGAAAACATTTCTGGCACAGAAATTTTTAGATATTTTTTGGTAATAATGGACCTATAACCAATTTTTTAAACCAACGATTCTTGAAGTTATCCAAAACTCTCTAAAAATTTAATATATATTTTTCAAAATATAAAGAGCCCTTTTTATATGGTCCAGGCTATATAAAGGCTATACAAATTTGGACGGAAACTCTTTTGGGGGTTTGATCTTTTACGGGAATGCTATCCAATCCTCTTGTAATATTTAACACCCAAACTGCCTATTAGAAGAAAATTGACAGCGAATTAAGAAAAAGTGCTAAATTGTTCGAAATTAAAAAAAAATGTTTTATTTCCACCCTTAATGATGATGTACAGGATGAGATGAAAAAACTGCAACCCACTTCAAACTACTCTCATTTCTAAGTCACTCGTCCGACAGCTGTTAAGATTATTCCAGTGACAGCTCATTATATTGTTTACAAGCTTAAAAAAGCATTTTGGTGAGAATTTTCCAGAAAAAAAGTTATTCGTGATGGAATTCAAGCGTGATAGTGTGATTTCTTTATATTTGGCTGGAAAACCACAAGTGGCTATCGTTAGAGCTATCGTCCAGCATTTAAATGTGAATAAATCTTTCACTCGCTCGTTACGGTGATACTGGTAGCGTAGCTCGACGTCAAGGAAGTGGACGGCAGCAAACAGCAACATCAGCAGAAATGGTTCGAAAAGTAAAGAAGCGACTTGATCGAAACCCGTGTAGCTTCGCTTGGACGAAAGTGGTGAATTACCAAATTTGGTTTTCTCCGATGAAAAAACATTCGTTGTCCAGCAGTTTGTAAACAAATAAAATAATCGTGTTTACTTGCCCAAGAGGTCAGCTGAAAATGTGCACCTTCGGTTGGCCACCAGAACTCAAGCGCCGTCCATGGTGATGGTATGGGCCGCCATAACAACCGATGATCGCTCTCCGCTCATATTAATCACCCGTGGCATCAGAATAAATGCCGAAAATATTCTGGAGGGTGTACAGTGTTGCCCATATTCGACGGACCCATCTGGCAACGCCATAACTTTTGACAGAGATGTCATATCGCTTAATGACATACCGCGTTTGAAGCGTAAGTCCAAGCAGATTTTTACCATGAACCAATACACGCCACGCGAGGGCTCTGAAATAGTTGAAATTTACATTCAACAGAAGAAGTCAATTGTGAAAACTCAACGTGCTTTTAAAACATTAAAAAATGTGAGAAGTGCGCCTTCTAAGAACACCATTAAGCGTTTATACGAAAAATTGTCGACTGGTAAGGCTCTTTTTAATCCGAAGAGGCCATATAAAAGTCGACCAAGGCGATCGGCCGAGAATATCGCTGCCGTACGAGCCAGTGTTGAGAGGTCCCCAAGAACATCCCAAAAACGCCGTTCTCAGCAGTTGGGCATGGCTCAGTCCACTTTACAACGGATTATTCGCATTGATTTGCATTTGTTCCCGTACAAAATTCAATTGACGCAAAGAATGTTGCCTGCGGACAAGCCTCGTCGATTGGATTTTTAAAAAAAACAAACATGGGTCCGTCGAATATGGGCAACCCTGTATTAAAGCCTTGGGCATGCAAACCTTGAACATTCCAACAGGGCTGCTGAGTCCATCGCACTCAGCACGCGCCACCCAAGAATGGAGAACCAAATTAGGTTCCTCGCTTAATTTCCTGCGCAAATCTCCGGATATCAATCCGTCGGACTATTGTGTCTGAAGTATTTTGGAAATCAAGGTTGACACTAAAAATACCCAAGTGTCGATCATCTAAACTTATTCTAAAATTTGATGCTATTTCCGACATTTTTTGTTCATTCAATAAAATTTAAAAAAAAGTAAAATTATGGCCTTTGACTTTTTTGCAGTTTTTTATCTCACCCTGTATATGGTCATAGTCTGTAGTACCCATTAGTGCCATAAAAGCAATTCCGTTGAATAATGTCGCTAATATCATCAAAATACCGAAAAATAGGGAGGCACCGTTATGTGTGTGGCATACAAAGACGGGAATATTCATAGAAAATTTTATGTCGTAGGTTGAAGTCAAATCATCAAAAAACCGAAAAGTGAAACCCTCCATATAACGGTACCTCCCAATTTTCGGTATTTGATGATTTTAGTGATGTTATTCAGCGGAATTGTTTCAAATCTCGTAGGTGAACGTATACCTGCATAAGTAATTTTTCGTCACAGGAGATCTTCCAAAACGGAATTTGAAACAATTCCTATATCAAAATGTGTACAGACATGATCTGCCAACTATCAAAAAAGACATGTGATTAACTGACAGATGGACGGACAGTTACACAGACAGACAGACGGATATCGTTAAATCGGTTTAGCATTTTACGCTGATTAAGAATATATGTACTTTGTTGGGTTTGACATGAAGATAGTACAGTGGAGGGTATAAAAGTGGAATTATGAAATGATTTATATATTCTTCCTGCGTTTATAATATTTGAATAATCTCTTTTTAGAGCTGTAAGGTGTCACAAAGTACAACAGAAGGGCATTTATGATTCAGTAAAAACTACTAAACATGAAATTTTCTTCTCACAAGTTCGATGTTTCCCACGCATCCTAAAAAACTAGAATATTTACAACAAAGGTTACAACAATTCTTTTCTTCAGAAAAATTCTACTATTTTTAGTTTCCAAATCCTCATTAATTATCCTCCATTCCAAGACAATGGCAAAGACACATCAATCATTAAAATAATACCCATTGAACAACAACGACAACTACAAAATGAGTGATCCAAAATCCATTCATAAAAACTTAGGAGGATGAAGAAAATGAAGGTGGATTAGGGCGAAAAGAAAAGATGTTCTGGCAGATGTAAAAACTATGACCAAACGACCAAAATCAACAATAACAAAAACAAAACTCAAATCCGAAAAAAACACATGTTGCTGTCCTCCTCAACATCTTGTTGGCGGGTTGATGTGTTGGTGTTGTGTCGCCACCGGTTGGTTGGTTGCCTGGTTGTATGGGGTTGTATCATAAATTTTGGCAAATACATGGCGACTTCTCTGGTATTGACAAGCCAACTTAATATTGTTTGTCTGAGCATTTTGTTTTTCAAATTTATGGTCATAAAAGCTGCACTACTTCCAAATAGCTCGGCTAGGTAGGGGCAGCTATTTGGCCATGATTTTGATAGTTTTTTTTTCGAAAATTTAAAAATGAAGATCATCCAATTCAATAAATTATGTGTGACTTGCCAATTGATTTTTACGACGACAAGGCAAAGTTGTATTTTGATTTGGATCAATGTTTTTCCATTGTTTTTTTTTTTTTTTTTTTTGGAAAACTCGCGTGGGATGG